GGTTCAGCATTATCTAACAGATATTTGTGTAGGTTTAGCATTATCTAACAGATAATTGTGTAGGTTCAGCTTTATCTAATAGATAATTGTGTAGGTTCAGCATTATCTAACAGATAATTGTGTAGGTTCAGCATTATCTAACAGATAATTGTGTAGGTTCATCTTTATCTAACAGATAATTGTGTAGGTTCAGCTTTATCTAATAGATATTTGTGTAGGTTCAGCTTTATCTAACAGATAATTTTATCTTCAGGAAAAAAGAATGAAATTTACTCTGCTCTAGTTATTATTTTATTTTTAGTACAAATTTGTTTTAATGTAAATCTACATAGGAGTAAGCTAAGATATAGTGTTTGTGTATCAATCCTCACTGCGATAAATGAAGGGCTAATGGAGTATGGTTTTATTAAGCCTCATTGTAAAGTAAGTGAAGGTGTAGCTATACTGAATTCTATTAAATATTTATCGTATTTTAAAGAGTTGTTTTTAAAGTTTTGTTGTTTGCGTGTTAGATATTAACAGAATGCCCCAGTACAATAGAATAAACAGTCTTTCCACAAAATTAATATTGCTCATATCAACCTGTAGTACAACAAAAGTGAGAAGAAACAGACAAATCAGTGCCTGGTAGCTGCACCTTTTCTATGTTTGAAACGGTGGAAGTATTGTGGGTATTTTGGGGGTGATAGCCCTGGTTTTGGCGGTGTTTGTTATCACATGTCAGGAAGCTGTATGATTTGGTTTAAATGATTAACAACAACAAATGATATAGTTATAGCATGATAAAATATGAAACGACAAAAATTGTTATAATGTTTTAAGAGAAAAGAAAAAAAAATCAGTCAATGTTTGTGGCTATAGAAAGGTCTTTTCGATGAAACAGTGACCAGTGTTTCTTTTCCCTTAGTTACATTTTTTGTGTTGAGAGAAAAGTTTTAAAGGACTTGTATCAGTATTTGTCAGATTTGTTTTTAACAGAACATCTTGTCATCCTTTAGAAATAAGAAATTATTTGATAATTCATTCTCAAAAACTCTGAATTGATCACTTTTTTAGTTATTCACAGTTAGTTTGGACACAACAAAACTAAATAATGCTCCAAGTCTAAAACCAAGACTTTAAAAAAAACAAGAAGGCTGAGGATAAGATATCAAGAAACAAGAAAGTAGCAGAAACCAACTTTTTTCGGGAAACACAATTTTTCCAAAAAAAGGAAAAAATGTGGAAAACCCACACACGATCAGACGAAATAGGAAAGGATAGATGGTCTACTGTAACTCGTCCATCGATTGTTGATGTTCCAGTTGACGAAGTTCTTCATGAAGCATCCAGAGGCACTTGTGAGTTTCTTTCTTTAGATGCATGCGTGAAATTATGTAACAGCTTTAAAAATGAAAGAATTTTAATTATTTCAGCTGTATGGTTTTCCTTAATCCTGTTAAATATCATTATTTTGATGCAAGAGTCACACTGAGATTTACAAAGACCAGGATGGAAACTTAGTGTTGAAAAAACCCACAGACTGATACAATGACTGGAAAACAAGAAAATAATTCTTTCTTTATTCATGTATGTAAATTTAAATTTATTTTATTCACTTCAAAATTTCACACTACTTATTACACTTCAATTTCAATTCTAATAAAAGTCACCAAGTTTGTCAGCAGCTTTACTTAAAGCATTTAGGTACCTACCATGTAGCTAAATATTAAAAAATGTCGTTATCACGGTGGCTTCTTGGATATTGGACATGCAATTCTCTGTCAGCAGCTTTACTTAAAACCTTTATATACCTACCCTGTAGCTAAATATTGAAAAATGTCGCTACCACGGTGGCTCCTTGGATATTGGATATGCAATTCTCTGTCAGCAGCTTTACTTAAAACATCTAGGTACCTACCCTGTAGCTAAATATTGAAAAATGTCGCTACCACGGTGGCTTCTTGTATATTGGACATGCAATTCTCTGTCAGCAGCTTTACTTAAAACATCTAGGTACCTACCCTGTAGCTAAATATTGAAAAATGTCACTACCACTACCTACAGTGATGGATATTTAAACTATATTTGTGTGAGAACTGGTGTAATAGTTTGTTTTCTATACAATCTAGAACTTCTAAGTATTTATGAACTTTTTTAATCATAAATTTAGATGATTTTGGCCATTCTCACACTAAAGAATGGCTAAGTATCAGTAGGGGAAACAGTTTTGAACCAAAAGAATTAGTTGAGCTGAACGTGAAGCCAACAAAGGTAACAAAACAACAATCACTGGCTTCTTCAAGGAACTTGGATCGTAGTTCTGTTGTCAGCAGTGATTATATGGTAAGAAGATACATTTTGATATGACATGGTTTTCAACCAGATTATGTACTGTAATTAAACATATATTGATAATATAGGCATAATTTAAATTTTATAAATAAATTGAATATTTGTTTTTGTATTGATAAAAAATCTAAAGTACATGCAAAGTTTTAATTAATGGGGAAAGTAAAAATAGTTGAAAATTAAGGTTATGGTTTAATTCAGAACTATAATAAAAGAGTGTTACTTTTTTAGATTAATAATTGTTGTATCATAATGAAGTCACAAACTTATTGAATTAATAATATAAAAAAGGATTCAAGAATGAACTGATTAATGTGGAAATTAGTGATTTTAGTTGAGGTTAAATTTTTTGTTTTTCTGTGAAGTTATTGGTTTTAATACTATTTTGCAATATCAAAAATATACTTATAAATATAGTTTTACGTTTCTTTTGGAGAATTCTTTAAATATTAATTATTAATTGTGTTTCTAGAGGAAGTCATCTGGTAAGAAGGATGTTGGAATTTCACAACCTTACCTACTTCCTTCTCTTAAGTTAGAAAACCGAGATCCCTCTAGAGTAAAATCATCAGAACGTCATTCCTTTGTCCACGTTAAGCTTGAACAGCCATCAAATGATTCCATATCTGGACAACAGAAAGTCAAAGGTCATAGGTTAGTCTTACCTTTAGAATTAGTGATGGAATTCATGTGGACCCACTTGTTTTTGAAATATATTTTTATAAATTCTTATGACAAAGATCCATGTAAATTGGGCCAAGTGTTTTATCATCTTTGGCTAATATAACAAAGTATCATATATTAATTCTGTTTTATCATCTTTGGCTTATATAACAAAGTATCTAATTTTAATTCTGTTTTATCACCTTTGGCTAATAGAACAAAGTATCTAATATTAATTCCAAAGATGATAAAACAGCTGATTCAACAGTTTTGTAATTTTAAATCCATTTATTGTTAGAGTTTCATCAACTGACCATGACAAGGTGGTCAATGAGGGAGTTGGTGACCTGGAAGTGTGTGACCTCAGTGATGCAGAGATAGAAGAAGTTTCAGTTGCTCCAGCGACTTCCATGATGTGTAGACCAAGCTACAGTGGTATTTCTAGGTCAATTACGTTATCTGAAGCTATGGTAAGAAAACAAATTGCAGTTGTCTTGTTGTGCATCGAGTAAACATTTCTTTTAGGTAACTCAGAATTCTCTTAGAGTCAATCAGCAATAATATGTGTATAACCATTAACTTCATAGATTAGAACTAAAACTTTATTCAATTGTATCTTATTTAATATATCATATAATGGTATCATTAAAACTACTGATTGGTTCATATAATGGTATCATTAAAACTACTGATTTGTTCATATAATGGTATCATTAAAACTACTGATTGGTTCATATAATGGTATCATTAAAACTACTGATTTGTTCATATAATGGTATCATTAAAACTACTGATTTGCCATTATATGAACCAATCAGTAGTTTTAATGATACCATTATATGAATTCATTACTCACGA